TTTTGAGCGCTTTTGGGCACTTTTGAGCGAAGTATGGCCACTGCCTTACCCTATTTCATTATTCTCGTTCAGTCTAGTACAAAGCGTCCAGAAACTTTCAAAAGGCCAGAAAAAATGCACAGAGAGCTATATAACCTGATCGGTAATGCTGAAACGAAAGAAGCTGGCGCTGTGGTTCCAACAGAAATCAGGAAGGGGTTTCGTCAATTGAATGCCCAGGTAGGTCAGTACATAAATCTTCTTTTTGTTTAATTCCATACTTTTAGCTTGCTGGACGTCCTGCTAGGAAGTATAAATGGGTGCCTTTCATAAACGAGGCTCGTAATGATAATCTCCAGTTATATCATTGGCAAAGGGTCGACAAGCTAGAGAATCCAGAGCCATATCCATTCGCAAAGTTCAATAAGGTAGGTATGCACAGTCTCACCGTTATTTCATCTGTTGAGTGTTTCTCAGGTCATCAATATTCCTGACTTTACCGACGAAGAATATGAGAAGTACTTCAAAGTGGCAAAGTGGACACTGGAAGAAACACGACATCTTTTTGATGTATGTCGCCGCTTCGATATCCGGTGGGGTATTCAGATCTTGCCGATTTTTCAACAAATTTGCATATGTTGGTTTCCAGATGGCCCATCGTGCATGATCGCTTTGATAAGGAGAAGTATGGTCAGCGATCTATGGAAGACTTGAAGGATCGATTTTATGCCATCACAAATGAGCTGGCCCTCCTGAAGGTAATTCCATGCTCATTTTATTTTGTAGTTTCTGTCTTTCTAGTCTGTTGTTTGTAGTCTTTCATTTTCAAAAGTTTCCTCCGATTTTTGGCTCCGAAGTTCATTCCTTTCATTTTCCTGTTTTTAATGGGTTTTTTATTATTTATCATATTTTTGTCTTCACTTACTTTGAATACCGCGATGATATTGTTTCCACATTTCTGTATCACTCAGGTATACTAACAAACTTTTCCCAGGATCCCAACTGTGAGCCTATTTGTTTCGACGCAGATCATGAGCGACGGCGAAAAGAGCAGTTGAATAAGCAGTGGAATCGAACTAAGGAGCAGGTATGGTTTTCATACTACTTAAATGCTTGATTGTCACTATTTTGTTTAGTTGGAAGAGGAAGAAATGTTGCTTGCTGAGTTAAAACGCATTGAAGTTCGTAAAAGAGAACGCGAGAAGAAAGCGCAGGACTTGCAAAAGCTCATCAATATGGCTGAAGCTCCAGCAAGCCCTTCAGTCAGGTAAGGAAGTGGTGTATTTATTCGAAAATTATTCATAACTGTTTTCATGATTTTACAGTGGAACATGTATGTCGCCTGCTTTGGGTAAAAAGAAAGGTACTATGCGACAGAAAGCCAGCTCCGCCGCAGCTAATAGCACGACAACGTTTAACTTCAACCCTGTAAGACTCCTTCCTACCTTACCAACTTTTTTCAGCTATTGTAGTCCATTTTTTATATAATTTAGGTGGATATCTCCGTTTCTGCTATTCGATTCCCCGAGTTCAAATCAGCTGGTGCACATTTGCGAAGTCAGGAGATGAAACTTCCAACAAACATTGGTCAAAAGAAGTTGAAAAACATTGAAGTAGTGTTGAGCAAGTGCAAATTGGGTAAGTCGTCGCCATAAATCCTCAAGTTTCTTGCTTCCATCT